TTTTTTTTTTGAGACGGAGTCTCGCTCTGTCGCCCAGGCTGGAGTGCAGTGGCGATCTCGGCTCACTGCAAGCTCCGCCTCCCGGGCTTACGCCATTCTCCTGCCTCAGCCTCCCGAGTAGCTGGGACCACAGGCGCCCGCCACTCGCCGCTAGTTTTTTGTATTTTTTAGTAGTAGACGGGGTTTCACCAGTGTTCGCCAGGGTGGTCTCGATCTCCTGACCTCGTGATCCGCCCGTCTCGGCCTCCCAAAGTGCTGGGATTACAGGCTTGAGCCACCGCGCCCGGCCACACAGCAAGGTTTTCTGCAAAGTTTTTAAAACTAGACAGACACAAATGAAAAATCACCCCCAACTGCTTTCCTTTTCTGGGATTATATCAAGTGGTGACAATTGCCTTCTCTATCCCTGTAGTCCCAGACACATGGAAGACTGCTGACAATATTTGGTATCTATGTTCAAGTTTTACTGTGGTTATGTTAATATAAAAATTTATTTATGCTTTACATATTGACTGTGGCATGTGATCTGTTATATGAAGGTCCTGGCATTTCTCCTTGTCTGTGCTCAGACTGACCTAATTCTCTGTGATGGGTCCACAGCATTCCCTTGTGACTCTACCGTAATTTAATCTGTCTCCTGTTTATGAATATATTGGTTGTGCATCATATTTTTTATTTTTTATTTTTTTTGAGACGGAGTCTAGTTCTGTCACCAGGCTGGAGTGCAGTGGCGGGGTCTCAGTTCACTGCAACCTATACCTCCCAGTTCAAGTGATTCTCCTGCCTCAGCTTCCCAAGTAGCTGGGATTATGGCACATGTTGCCACGCCCAACGAAGCTTTGTATTTTTAGTAGAGACAGCCTTTCACCCTGTTGTCTAGGATGCTCTTGACCTCCTGACATTGCGATCCACCCACCTCACCCTCCCAAAGTGCTGAGATTACAGACGTGACCCGGTTTTTTGTTTTTTGTTTTTTCTTGAGACGGGGTCTCACTGTGTCACCCAGGCTGGAGTGCAGGGGCACGATCATAGCTCACTGCAGCCTTACCAAGTGATTCTCCCACCGCAGTGTCCTGAATAGCTGGGACTACAGGCACATGCCACCACGCCTGGCTAATTTTTAAAGTTTTGTAGAGACAGGGTCTCCCTATATTGCCCAGGCTGGTCTCAAACTCCTGGGCTGAAGCAGTCTTCCCACCTGAGCCTCTCCAAGTACTGGGAGTACAGGTGTGGGCTACCGTGTGCCCAGCTAGGTGCATGTCTTTGAACATCACTGCAGATGTCCGTTGGCCTTTGGTCCATCTGAGTTGCCTGTCTTCTGGCTTTTCTGTTAGGTTGATGGACTAGAAAGGGATAGGGAGTATAGGGCCAGAAGAAAGATAATTTGGAGATCTATCTGGTTTTTGTTGTTGATGTTGTTTTTTTTTTTCCTGAGACGGAGTCTTGCTCTGTCGCCCAGGCTGGTGTGCAGTGGCTTGATTTCAGCTCACTGTAATCTCCTGCCTCCCTGGTTTAAGTGATTCTCCTGCCTCAGCCTCCTGAATAGCTGGGATTACAGGTGCCCACCACCACGCCCAGCTAATTTTTGTATTTTTAGTAGAGAAGGGGTTTCACCATGTTGCCCTGGTCTCAAAACTCCTGACCTCAGGTGATCCACCTACCTCTGCCTCCCAAAGTGCTGGGATTACAGGCATGAGCCACGATGCCTGGCCCGGAGATCAAATGTAGTAGAGATAACCTTTATCTGCCACATGTATATTTTCTTCAGCTCCTCCCCTCCCCTTTTTTGTTGAGATAGAGTCTCGCTTTGTCTCTCAGGCTGGAGTGCAGTGGTGTGATCTCTGCTCACCGCAGCCTCCGCCTTCTGGGTTCAAGCCATTCTCCTGCCTCAGCCTCCTGAAGCTGGGATTACAGGTGCACACCACCACACCCAGCTAATTTTTGTATTTTTAGTAAACACGGGGTTTCACCGTGTTACCCAGGCTGGTCTCGAACTTGTGGCCTCAGGTGATCTGCTTACCTTGGCCTCCGGAGTGCTGGGATTACAGGCATGAGCCACTGCGCCCGGCCTGTCCACTTCTCAGTGTCACCTTGAGAATACTATTTCTGAGGAAAAGCATCTCTACATGTGCCTAGAAAGACTGGAACAGCCGGGCGCGGTGGCTCACACCTGTAATCCCAGCACTTTGGGAGGCTGAGACGGGCGGATCACGAGGTCAGGAGATGGAGACCATCCTGGACAACATGGTGAAACCCCGTCTCTACTAAAAAATACAAAAAATTAGCTGGGCGAGGTGGCGGGCGCCTGTAGTCCCAGCTACTCGGGAGGCTGAGGCAGGAGAATGGCGTGAACCCGGGAGGTGGAGCTTGCAGTGAGCCGAGATCAGGCCACTGCACTCCAGCCTGGGTGACAGAGCTAAACGCCGTCTCAAAAAAAAAAAGACTGGAACAGCTACGCATTAAATGTTAGGGGTCTGGGTGGGGCCTGTCTCTGTCCCGTGTGTGTGTGTGTGTGTATATGTGTATGTCTGTGTTACACATGTGCTCTTGGATGTGACAGCCATGTCCTGTTCTTGTTTACACATAACACAGTTTGCCACGTGTCAAGTGGGAGCTGAAGGATGTGCTGCACCCATTCCTGGACCTGGGATACACAGGAAGGTGCAGCAAGCGTTGTTTTCGGAAGTTCTACAATGACCATGACTGGTTTTATGTGGACAAATATAAAAAAGGCGGCCTAGCTTCCCTCTCCGTAGTGGTGTCGGGTGAAGGCAGGGGTCTGGGTCGGCTCCTGGTCCACCTTGCCTGCTACGTGGCTAGGTGCTGGGGCTGGTCCCACCTCCCCCACCACAACGCCCCCGGCACCCCAGGTGCGCAATTCCAGGCCACAGCTGTGGAGCCATTAGCGGGCTGGGCGTTGCGCAGGTACCGACTCGCGCCGGGAGGGGGCGCTGTTCCCTAACCTGTTCCGAGTCGGCCCCGGGTCCTGACGCCGCCCGCGCGCGTTCACGCTGCAGGTGCGGAGTTCTCGCAGTGGGCCTGGGCCGCGTGCTTGACCTGGAGTGGGGAGGACGACGCCAGCCGCCCTGGGGATGGGCAGAGTCGGCCGTCCTCGCAGCCCCTACCTGCCACTGCACTTGGGAGGGTCAGGCCGCACACAGGTCGGTGCCCCCGTGGCCGAGGCCCCAAACCTGCTGGGGGTGGGACGAGGCGCGCCTGGATCTGGGCACTGGGGGTGCGCCCCAGACCCTCGCTTTTCCTTGGGGCGCGGCGGCGCCTTGTTCTCGCGTCCTGCCTTTGAGAGAGCACGGCAAGAAGGCTGCACCTTGGGGAGGCTTTACTCATACACGGGGAAGATCGCCTGGGGGTCACACGGCCACCCACCCACAGTTCAGCGGTACTCGGAAGCCAGCGCAGAGATCACGTGGCTCAGGAACTTGTCCAGCGACGCCTGCAGCGCCGGGCTGAAGTCTCCGGGGTAGTGCCGGGCGAGGGTCACCAGCAGGCAGTGGCCCAGGAGCTGCGGCGAGCGCGCAAGGCTCACTTGCCTGCACCCGCCCCACATGCCCCCCGCACCCGCCCCGCCGGAGCCCTCCCGAGAACAGGGGCCCAGCACGGCAGCCGCTCACCGGGAAGTTAGCTGGGTCCACTCGCAGCTGGCAAGCGTGCAGATGGCTCAGAGCGGACAGCGCGCGGGGTAGGTCGTCTAGGCGCTCCACGGCGAGGCTCAGCGCGTCCGCCACCTTCTGGCCGTGTGCTCTAACCTGGGCGGAGCCGGGGCTCAGGTCTAGGTGGGAGAAGTAGGTCTTCGTGGCGGGGAAAGCCAGGAAGGTCCTGCGAGAGGAACAGCGGTGAGGCGCGTCCGGGGGGCTTGGGGAGGCAGGGCCCCGGAGGGCGGGGGCGCCCAGCCTCGCCGCACCTCTCCAGGGCCTCAGTAGCATAGACGCCAACATTGCTGCCCAGTTTCTTCCACAGGGCGCGCACCAGCGCCCGGTCCTCCGCGGACAGCGCCATTCCCGCGCTGGAACCCGCCGCGCCCTGCGCCCGCGCTGCACCTGCGCAGACCGGCCAGGAGTCCCGCGGCCACCAGGGGGCGCCGCGCTGCAGCCTCGCCACCCTGGGGTGCAGGGCCTGGTCCCGGATCCCGGGACCGCGCGGCCTCCATCTCCGACTGCTCCGACCGGGGGAACTCTGAATCGCCCTGGATCCAAGGCCCCCGCGTCTTAGGTGTTCACCATATAGTTTTTAGTCTCTACTAAAAACACAAAAATTGGCCAGGTGCGGTGAGTGCAGTGGCGCGATTTCGGCTCACGGCAACCTCCGCCTCCCAGGTTCAAGCGATTCTCCTGCCTCAGCCTCCCGAGTAGCTGGGATTACAGGCACCCGCCACCTCGCCCAGCTAAGTTTGTATTTTTAGTAGAGACACGGTTTCACCATGTTGGTCAGGCTGATCTCAAACTCCTGACCTCAGGTGATCCGCCTCGTCCTCCCAAAGTTCTGGGATTACAGGCGTGAACCACCGCGCCCGGCCATATGTATTATTATAACACTGAATTTCGGCATGGATTTGTCATTGGAAGTGAGTTTATTCTGCCTCTTGAGTCTGTTGTGACCCTTGCCCGAGTCTTTCTCATTTATTATATGAAATGAGGGTGACAATTTCTTCTCAGATTGTGAGAATTAAACGGATAACAACTGTCAGGTGCATGACTCGTAGCAGTGTTTCTTCAGAGCAATGAACGTTTACTGAGTGCCTGGGATATAACCCAAGAATAATAGTAAATGCGTATGCAACACTCACTGTGCTGCACCCCTTATAGCTTTTTTGTTTTAAAAACACTGTGCTAAAATCGACATAAATTATCATTTTAGCCATTTTTCAGGTGTAAAATTTGGTGATACTAAGGACATTTACAGTGTTATGCAACCATCACCACTATCTAGGTCAGAGCTTTTTCATCATCCCAAACGCCAGCTCTGTACTCATTAACAGTAACTCTGGGCCGGGCGCGGTGGCTCAAGCCTGTAATCCCAGCACTTTGGGAGGCTGAGACGGGCGGGTCACGAGGTCAGGAGATCGAGACCATCCTGGCTAACACGGTGAAACCCCGTCTCTACTAAAAAATGCAAAAAACTAGCCGGGTGAGGCGGCGGGCAAAAAAACTAGCCGGGCGAGGTGGCGGGCGCCTGTAGTCCCAGCTACTCAGGAGGCTGAGGCAGGAGAATGGCGTAAACCCGGGAGGCGGAGCTTGCAGTGAGCTGAGATCCGGCCACTGCACTCCAGCCTGGGCTACAGAGCGAGACTCTGTCTCAAAAAAAAAAAACAGTAACTCTGACCCCGGCAGCCACTAATCTGCTTTTGGTTCCTATGGATTTGGCTGTAGTGGATATTGCTTATAGATGGGGTCATGCAATATGTGACCTTTGGTGTCTGGCTTCTTGTCAAATATTTTCAAGGTGCAGCTACATCCTATCAGTGCTTCATTTCTTTTTATGGCCAAATAATATTCCCTTGTATGTGTAGACCACCACGTTTTATTTACCCATTCATCTACTGATGTATAATTTTTATAACTTTTTCTTTTTGAGATGGAGCTTCACTCTTGTTGCCCAGTCTAGAGTGCAATGGTGTGATCTCGCATCACCGCAACCTCTGCCTCCTGAGTTCAAGTGATTCTCCTGCCTCAGCCTCCCGAGTAGCTGGGATTACAGACTTGTGCCACCACACCCGGCTAATTTTTTGTATTTTTGGTAGAGATGTGGTTTCACCATACTGGCCAGGCTGGTCTCAAACTCCTGACCTTGTGATCTGCCTGCCTTGGCCTCCCAAAGTGCTGGGATTACAGGCGTGAGCCACCGTGCCCAGCCGCTGGGCTAATTTATTTTATTTTATTTATTTTGAGACGGAGTTTCGCTCTTGTTGCCCAAGCTGGAGTGCAATCGTGCAATCTTGACTCACTGCAACCTCCACCTACCAAAGTGCTGGGTTTACAGGCATGAGTCACCGCACCTGGCCAATTTTTGTGTTTTTAGTAGAGACAGGGTTTCACCATGTTGGCTAGGCTGGTCTTGAACTCCTGACTTCAGGTGATCCACCTACCTCAGCCTCCCAAAGTGCTACAATTACAGGCATGAGCCACCATGCCCGGCCAATTTTTATAATTTTTTCTTAGGCCTAGTCAACTGAAGCAGCAGGAGTGGAGAAGGAAACAAAAAATTTATAACTGATTCTGATCAATTAATTGTAAACACTGCTGCACTCCAACCAGCCCACTGATGTACATTTCACATATTTCTACCTTTAGGTCAGACCTCCATTCTTCCTGATGAAATAATGAAGACACTATCTTCCTGAGAGTTGATACTGTACCCACAGGCTGTGGAAAGGACATCACAAACGCAGGCAGAGGGCCTGCCATAGGTATTTACCAAGGGCAATTCATGGGCTTAGGGAAGAAAAGATATTGCTATCAGTTGAGGGCCAGGGCTTTATGGCTGCGATGTCTGGGAACCCTCCCTCTGATACCCCAGGCACTGAGAGCCTGCTCAGCAAAGAGAAAATACGCTGCAGGGAGGAGGGACCTTCTAGCCAGGACTCCGTGGCCCGGCTCTCCTCTCCAGTCACAATGGGACAGGCTCCCCAGCCTCAGGGGAGCTGAGTGGCTGCTGAGCTGAGCCCTGAGCTAGGCCCAGAGACGACCTCCTGACCTCGCCAGCCCCAGGGCATCAGTGTCTAGATCCTTGTGAGCATCCTAGGATGGCCTGGGGGAGAAAGGGGAACCCCTATTGAATTGTCTGGGGCCTGCGGTTGCACCCCTCACCCTTGATTTCATCTAAACTGTGCCTGTATCTGGGAGGTTTTCCGGAGACTGGTGAGGACAATGGGGGATCAATGCAGCCGCGCTGGAGTGGGACTTTCCTAACCTACCCACCACCCATATCTGGGAGGACCTCTGGGAAACCAGTGAGGTCTCAGGCAGAAAGCAGCCAGTTCTTGGCACAAGAGTGCCTAGAAATGTAAAGATGGATACATTCATTATTTCAACAAACCTGCATTGAATCTGAAAGGCCTGGGAATAAAACTCAGGAAAGAACAAATGCATCCTCAAAGCACTCTAGGGTCCAGCGGTTTTCCAGTTGGACTTTGCGATGGCTCAACTTCCTTCCTCTCTCCCCTCCTCCCGACCCTGCCCTTTCCTACCCTATCCAGCTGCAGAGAGGTCCTAGCCATGTGTGTCCCAGCTGCTGTTCACGCCCATCCCTGGCACCTTCGCTGAGGGAAGAAACTCAGGCACATACAGGCTGCCGCCCACTCAGACTTTATTCAAAGACCAGGGGGTACGGGTGCAGGAAGGGGAGGAGGGCCTGGCGGGAGGCCCAAGGGGCAAGAAGCATGGCCACCGAGGCTCCAGCTTAACGGTATTTGGAGGTCAGCACGGTGCTCACAGAAGCCAGGAACTTGTCCAGGGAGGCGTGCACCGCAGGGGTGAACTCGGCGGGGAGGTGAGCGGCCAGAGTCACCAGCAGGCAGTGGCTCAGGAGCTGTGCAGAGAAGAGGGTCAGTGGGGCCGAGGGCCCGCAGCCGCCGCCTGCGCTGCACCTCCCGCAACCTGCCGGATGCTGTGCCCTGCGAGGAAGGCGCCATCTCGCCCCTCGACCCAGATCGCTCCCGGCCCGCCGCTCACCTTGAAGTTGACCGGGTCCACCCGAAGCTTGTGCGCGTGCAGGTCGCTCAGCTTGGACAGCGCATGGGGCATGTCGTCCACGTGCCCCACGGCGAGGGTCAGCGCGTCGGCCACCTTCTTGCCGTGGCCCTTAACCTGGTCAGAGCCGTGGCTCAGGTTGAAGTGGGGGAAGTAGGTCTTGGTGGTGGGGAAGGACAGGAACATCCTGCGGGGAGAAGCAGAGTGAGGGGTGGGGTTTGGGTCCGGGGCCAGGACGGTTGCGGGTGGCCGGTGGGTCAAGCCGGGCGAGGAGCCCGGGTCGGAGCAGGGGAGGGAGCCTCACCTCTCCAGGGCCTCCGCACCATACTCGCCAGCGTGCGCTTTGCGTGCGCCGCGCACCGGCCTGCGGTCGTGGTCATGGCCCGGCCGAAGGATCCGGGAGCTCGAGCAGGCGGCAGGCAAGCATGCCCTCACCATCACACGCGCTCACCAGACCCATCACTCCACCGATCCCGCCAACCTTAATCCCCGCGCCCTTCGACGTGTTCATGTCGATCAGCGACAACGCCCATGGGGAAATAATCTATTCTGAATACTGTGACCAGAAGAGTGCCGGGCCGACGAGGCGCGCCCAGGGTTTATGCTCCGAGCGCGCGGCACCGCACGCCCCGGGCAGGCGGGCTCTCCTGGCTGGGCGCGCACTGGGGCCCGCGGGCCGCCCGGCCTCGGACCCGCCGGGGACTCCTCGGACCCAGCCTGCCCGGGCGCTCGGCGCGGCGCGGCTGTCGTCGCCGGCGCGCGCTGCCCGCCACACGGGCCCGGACAGAGACAGCGAGAGTCTCCAACACACTACAAACACACCGCAACACTAAAAACAGCGAACTCACCACAAGAACAAGCAAAAAACCCATCCAGCTCGCCAGAGAACGAGGCGCGGTCGCTGACGCGAGGCAGGGGGGCCGGCCTCGTTGGGTCGAAGCACTGTCGACACATCTCCGCAACACGCGGGCGT